ATAATGCTTCCCCCATCTATCAGAGGCGTTAGAGACTACTGTTGGGCAGGAAACGTCCTTGAATTTGGCTCAGTGACCTCCTTTGGAGATATGAGGTTCTTTTACGTGCCATAAAGCTACGACACAGGACCCACGGCTCAAAATCCCTCCCGGAGGACTTGTTCCCTGAATTTTTCCGCCCTTAAAAATTCCACGACCTCCGCCGGGTTTGAACCCGCATACCACGAGTCATGAGGTGGGAACGTTACCTCTAGACTACAGAGGCCGCTATTTGCATGTTGTTGCTTTATTCCCCATTTGATGAAGAAAATAAGCACTTACTACATCTATGCAAGATTATGATAATCATGTAACGAATAAGCTACTAGAAGTAAATAAATGGTAATTTTTATTGTAGAATTTGAAGTTCTCACAGCAGTGGTTATGTGGAGTTGGGGTTTAAAGCCATATACATAGGGAAGTCAAAAATTATCCGCACTCTTGTTTTTCCAATTTATATACACAAAAATATAGGTTGAACAAGTACATCATTTTTTTCTACATAGTCTTGTTCCTTTTCGATGCACTTGGTCCAGTGGTCCACAAGCTTGCGTATTCCCTCCAAGAAGAAGGTTTTTGGTTGGTCGCGCAACCATTTATTCACCGGAAGGGATGAGATCTTGGCTGTAGGCAGGATGTTCCAGCACCTCGAAACCCAAATGCTTAATGGTTTCAACAGCCTGGCCGGTCATGTGTGGGCGTGCATTGTCATGCATCAACAACACTTTCTTCGACAATAGGCCTTGGCGTTTGGTGCATATTGCTGGCTTCATATTGTTGGCCAGCAACTGTATCTTGCACTGTTGACTGTACACCATTTTTCAAGGTAGTCTTCTAGTATAGGCCCTTTTGAGTCACAAAAAACGGTTAGTGTCTCCTTTCCTGCAGAAGATTGAGTCTTGAATTTCTTCTTCATTGGCAATCCCGGGTATTTCCACGCCATACTCTGGCTTTTGTATTCTGGCTCATAGTGATTGACCCACCGATGAATTTCAGGCCCTGACACACCTTCCAACCAGAGAAATTGGATCACTATCGTTTGTCAATCCTTGGTGCACAATGCTAGTGGAGTGGCCATGTTTACACTGTCACAGCATCAAGGAAAATGATGTGATCAAGATCAAACTTCGATCACATGACCACCATAGTACCAGCTCTAAGCATGCATGTGCAGAAGGCAGTGTGACAAACATAAGATGTGTTGTGGCGAAAGTGTGGATAATTTCTGACTTTCCCTCGTAGTTAAGTGAAAGCTGTGAAGTCAACTGACTTTCACCAAACTACGTATGGAACTCTTCAGTAGTTTATATTGATTACTAAATTGGGAAATATTGCTATGTACAGGTGTCTGGATGAAAGGTATCCAAAATAAAAAATGTATGAGGGGGGACCCAAAAATAACCGGAAACGACCTGTTGCGCGCGCATACTTTGTAGTTACGAGTTGTGCTGCTAGGTGG